TAACATCTACCTGCTACTTAGCCCCTCCTCAAAGCCTAGCACAAAGCTGTTACTAGGTGAAGATTCCTCTTCAGCCCTTGTCTTCTCAAAAAAAAGGATTCCTTCTAGTGACACAGTTTAAGCACTTTATTTACCAAACCAAATCACGCACTCCAGAGAGAGATGGGAGTAACCCATCCTGAAAGAGAGGTGATAGCACAATGGGCTCTGTATTGCAGGTGTTTAAAGAGTTTGTGAATATTTATGAGATGGGTACTATATTCACAGAGTAAAGTAACTCTTTTTCCCTGCCAAATTGTGGTGAGCCCAATCTCCTCTTTAGGGTTTATCTAATCATGATCTTTTAGAAAAGCCCACGAAAGAGGATGAAGCAAAACCCACAATACAAATGACGTTTAATAAAGTCAAGATCTTTTGAGGGTATGGACCCTTCATTATGCACATGTGTGATAACTGGACAGTGCCCTGGCACCTTATTGTCTGATGTTGCTGGAAGATCCTGTCTGCGGCTTCAAGGACCTCTAATGGCAGAGGGCTATTTGGCTGTCAAGAGACACAGCTGCCAAGATACATCTATAGTTTTCCTCAATTACCTCATGTCTAACTCCTTTCCTACCTGGTATCAAGGCTTGTTATATCAGAGAAATGTGGTATATCTCTTTTGAACTAATTAATCATAGAAATTTTTCTTTTGCTATACTCCTCTAGACCTTTTTAGAATGATACATATGAATGCATAATTTCATAAATCACTTTTGAAAAAGTAAAAACCTAGTGAGAACTTAAAACTGACAATGAATTAATCGTTAAAGGATCTTTAAGAACCCTATTCTACTTTTTGCTACTTCAATATAAAAATAAGACAAGTTTCCTGTGCTACTTAATAGTTTCTGTCATTGAAATGCATGGCTAAATCTTTTATGTGGCTTGTGGTTCCCCCAAGAGCTATTATTTACTTACCAACAATGATGAGGAATGTCCACCTAAAGGAAACATTATTTCCATTGAAGTCACACTCGTGTAGAAATGTACATCCCCAGGCGACCCTCATAACCATCTGCTCACAAATGAATACAGTTTGGGTTCTGGATTTTTCCAAAAAAAGTTAAATGTATATTTTTAAAAATAAACTACATTAGTAACTTCCAAGGAAGAAATGACACATTGCAGAGTGTGATGTGGAAGGATCAGAAGGATGTTCAAATAGAGAAAGTAAATGATGTCATGATCTGTGTAGTGCTCTGACCCCATGAAAACCAGGTCAGAGCCAATTTGGGTCTGCCACCTCCACAGTGACTAAAGCCCCTTCCGTATGCTTCCAGTCCATGCCTGCTGTGACTTCCTTTAAATTGGGGACTTTGTCTTACATAATATGCTTCTTTCTTCATCAAAAGCATGGTACATATTTTAGACAGCTACTCCTCTCTTCCCAGCAGTTTAAAACTGTGAATAATGTCTAAGATACATACATTCAGAGGCAAGCAATTTAAAACAACACATTTGGGCTGCTAATCTGCTTTTAGTATCTTCGATTTGTAAAGGAACTGTGAGCAGGAGAATGGCATATGATACTACACCAAGGTGGTGCTGTGTTTCAGTTCTCCCCATTCCATTATTGCCTTCCAAGCAAGAAGAGCCTGGTGGATGCCCCATAAAATGATATTTTGCATTAACCATTGCACTAAAATAAGCTCGATCATGTGTTCACCAAGTGGACAGCTGCCTCCTAAGAGAAAGCAAAAGCAAGACCTGATATTTCTCCACAAGCTAGAGTCTTCCTCTAGATAGCTCTTCACTGAAGCTTCTTAAAGGTCTAGGATTTCCAAAATTTGACTGACAAAACTAAGTGCCCCATGTCCCCATATTGTGTCATTCGCTTCTAATATTAGCAGTGGAGCATTTCGGGTTCACCTAGGAAAGAGGAGCTTTTATTTTTGAGTTGAACAAGAACAGATACTAAAAATGAACATGGTGAGACTTCCTTCTGGTATATCTGACACAGATAAAATAGGTAAACCTGTGCAGTAAAACTATTTTGGATCAAATGGGGAAAGAATTCAATGTAGTTGGAAATTTGATGTGCTCAAAGACATTTCATGTAGCCTCGCTCATGCATTCTGAGACATGAAGAAATAAAATGAAGTCTTACAAAGTTGTTTTGGTGTACAATGTCACAAAAGGTCACAACATGTTTATGGAAATTCTATATGGGTGACACAATGATTTCAGGGAGCGTGGCAAAGCCCAGCATGAGTGATAAGGTGGGTCATTTGATGTTGTAGCCGTATACACAAGGTACTGGATGACACCTTTTAGGGTTCACTGGGCCACTTTATCAAATGTTTGGGCTTCTGTTATCTAGCAGAGTTTAAATGGACCAGAGTAGCTGGTTATTGCCTTGTTTCTACCTCAAACTGCAGAGGTGGCTAGAGGCAGGAAGATGGACATGTGGTCTTCAGAATAACAGCAACAATGGTGGGATTCCATGCCCTACACGGGGGGTAGTTTCCTCCTATGCTCTCCATCTGCAAAGTGAGGACCACCATCATATGCCAAGAGTGATTTATTTATGTGGCTCAAGTCTTGGAAATAGACTTATACCAGGACAAAAGTAGGGTCAATCTCTCAAGCATCTTTAAGATGACCACATAAATTGAGTAACTGTTCCCCCTACAGAAAGAAAATACTTACTAAAGTGTAATAGAAATTAAAAAGTTAAAGGAAATAAAATCACTAAAGTTCAGGGGGAGGGACTTATCACCACTGTATCAGTATTTGTTTGTAATTGAACTTTCCTTACACTCTAAATTTTTTCTAAAGCATTTATTTCAGAAAAACTGTCCTGACTGTTTAAATAGAAGTGGAAGGAAATGGGCTATGTTTAGTTCTTGCTATTCAGCAATTTATGTTGGCTGACAATCCTCTAGCTCAGTCTTCCATCTGAATAGCTGAGTGATCATTACCTTCTTAAGTCACTGTCAGGGAAAATCAGGCAGATCGCGCCATCTTGCATACTTAGCTGCTGCAAGGTTAAGTGTCCAGTGGCATAAACTTGCCATTTTTGAGTTTGTTAGAAAACTCTTTGAACGATAAAGACTTGGCCTTAAAATCACCTGGATTTGCATGGTTTGTTGGTTGATTGGTTTTATTTTTGTTTTGTTTTGCATCTTCACTCCTTCTTCCTAGTCTAAGAATCACTGAAAGATATTAAAATTCCATGATAAGCCTTGTCAAGACCCTTTTCCCCATGGCAAACAAAAAGTCTGCTCCCTGTGGTCCCAAAGATTCCCAGGGCACACTCCGCTCTACAGTGATGACGTTGTGCTTTCCTTATGCCTTGTTCCTCTTTGTTTCCCCAAGACTTTATACATTGCCCAGGACATGGTGATCTCTCATTAAATAATTTATTTATAAACACTGAATAGTCTTGCCTAGAAGACTAAGTTATCATTTACATTTTACTTTTTGTTTCATCTAGGATTTTTTTAATTCTCCTTGTTATACAACTTTTACTCTAGATTTCTGTCTTTGAAAATCAGTAGTTTTAGAGAATAAAGGAAGATCTGGTTACATACCTAATAGATTTCCAAGAAACTACTCAAAGAGCAATGTCTTATGAAAAATATTTTCATGGACCAAGTCCAATTATTTCTCTCCTATCTATAGTTCAAGAAATTTTTCACAAGTACTTTTATTGAAAGTTTTCTTCCAGCAGGAAATAGTCACTTAATATAGGAAAATTCAGCACGATATCTATTAGAGGGTCAGCAAAGTCAAAGAGCACTAAAAGTCATGACTCCCTGTGTTGGCTTACCATAAAATATATTCTCATACTTCATCAGAAATGATACAAGATGAATGCTACAGATGCCAACATTCCCTCCCCCTCATGAAGAAAAAGTAGCTTTTTTCCCTAAAGTCCCAATGGCTCAAAAACCCCTGGTCTTTCAACTCTGCATTATGACAAATATTTGACTAGATATGAAATTACATATGTCACTTAGGTGACATTTTATAGAAAATAAGGAGCAAAGATAAAAATCAAAGTATTAGTTCTTAACTCTTAAAAAAAAACAAGGCAAATGACAGCAAGGAGCGCCTGCAGGAAATGTGAGCCAGGCCTTTGGATGGGAAGTTTTACTGTGTGCTGTTTGGAAGTAGAAGCTCTGAGGGAAACTGTATTCCTACAACAGCACCTGGTCTGAGAATAAGGGGTGTGTTTTTCTCCAGTGTTACAGTTATTTCATCTTTGCCTCCTTAGTTTGCATCCCTGCGCTGATTCTAGAGACACCCTCCTGGTAACAATTTGGTATCGTCTCTGAAAGATATCAGTAAGAAGACAGAAACAGGTTGATTCTAAATTTCTATTACAGGCAAACGGATGCTGCAACTCCTGTCCCCTTTCTACTTAAAAAATAAAACTACCTTTCTTTTACCTGATGAAATTTTAGAGATGAACACAAACAAACAAACAAAAACGTTGAGGCAGAAAAGAACAACCTTTACTTAAAGGATTATCTGACTCCCTGTGTTAATTTTATGTAACCTTGTATAACAAATAGAATATAGTTAAGATAATCTAAAGATAGTCTTATATTCGTTCTTCACTTGGAAATATATTATATTTTGTAAGTCAATCAATACATGGACAGATGTTCGATGAATAAATGGGTGGCTGGTGAATAAGGTAAATTCATTTGCTCTGGAAAAACTCACATTCTAAAAGGAAGAAGGAAGATAGTGGGTGTGTAAGCAAACTAATAAAGAGAATTTGATATGAAAAGCTGCATTTTGTGGAAGATATTTTGTTCTTAGACTAAACCTGAGAAGATTTTGTGTTTCTCGATGACAAAAATCACAAAGGAAGAGAGGAACTTCTCTTGCACACAAGTGTTCTGCCTCCGACACTGCTCTCATCAAAAAAGATAATCTTCAGAATTAAACATATGTCGCTTTACCTGAGGCACTGATAACTATGTGTTGCTTTATTTTTGTTCTAGGAATCTTGGAAAATCAGGACTCAGAGTTTCTTGCTTGGGTCTTGGTAAGTGCTCAGGGTGTTATGGGAGAATTGGTGGGGAGATGGGAGACGGAAACACCAGGGCATGACTACAATGCATGTTGGGGTTCTCTCTGAGTAGAAGGAGACTGGCCACTTTGTACCCCTTCTGAGCCATTCCTTGTCCAGCATGGTCATCCCCTTGTCTAGGCCCAAGGACCCTAGGTCTTCATGGTACCTTCTACCATAGAGCAGAAAACAGCTTTTGGGGAGGGAACCTCTCCTATTTAGCTAATGTATTCATTAGTTTTCTGTTGCTGTGAAAACCATGATCAAGCAATTTAAAGAAAGAAGAGTTCATTTGGCTTAAGGTTCAAGAGGGCTGAGTCCATCATGGTGGAGAGGCATGGCGGTAGATGTGGCCAGAGCCGAAAGCGGAGCATTCATGTCTACAAGGAGGCAGAAAACAGAGAGAAACAAACTGGAAATGGACTGTGCCTAGGAACCCTCAAAGCCCACCCCCAGTGACATGATCTGCTTCCTCCAGCAAGGCCTCACCTACCAAAATAGTGCTGCTCCTCACCAAGTGTTCAGATACTTGAGCCCATGGGAGACACCTCATTCAAACTACCACAGCTGGTGTGCAAGGCATGGCTACACGTGTGTCTGCTCCCCTCTCCCTCCCCTTAGTTTACCTGTATTTTTCTATCTGTCCTACTTTCCCTTTGACTTATTTACTCCTCACTTATTTACCGATATTGTTACATATTTATGTGTTGTTAATCTTCAAATTCTTTGGGGGGCAAACTAAAAAAATGCACACATATACATACATATACACATAGTATTGTCGGTTTGATGGAATCTAGACTCACGTGGAAAATGGGCCTCTAGATATACCTGTGGGGAGAATATCTTGATATTGTTAATTGATATGGGCCAGAATAACAGTAAAAAGGATGACTTTTGGATTAAGGATGTTTATTCTGTGCTACCATATATTTGGAAGAATGTAGTGTAGGTGTGGTAATGTGAGGCAATGAGTCACATTGTGTCTGAAGTCAGGAAGCAAAGAGAGAGGAGTGCTGGTGCTTGGTTCACTCTTTCCTTTCCTCCTTTGTATTTACTGAGACACTAACCCATGAAATGGTGTTCCAATTCAGAATAGGTGTTTCTTTCTCAGTTAAAACCTCTCTAGAAACACTCTCATAGACATACCAAATGTCTCCTAGGTGATTCTAAATCCAGTAAAAAAAAAAATTTTTTTTGGTCTTTTTTTCTCTTGTGACAGAGTCTTCCAAAAGTAGCCCCAGCTGGCCTGGAACTCACTATGTAGATCAGACTGGCCTTGAACTCATAGAGATCTGCCTGCCTCTACCTCCCCTGTGCTGAGACTAAAGTGTGCACCACCACACCCAGCATTAAATCCAGTCAATTTGGCAATGAAGATGAATCATCATAAGTCTACTCCTTGTCTGTTTGACATCCAAAACATAGCTTTTTAAAAAAATTTTATTTATTGTTTTTATTTTATGTGTATGAGTATATTGCCTGGATGTAAGTGAGTGCACCTGTGTCGTGCAATGCCACAGAGGTCAGAAGAGGGCTTCAGATTCCCCTGGAACTGTAGTTGAGGACAGTTCATTGCCACCATGTGGGTGCTGAGAATTGAACCCGGGTCCTAACCACCTCATTTTTCATTTTGAAAGGCTCTTGGTCATCTCATAATGCAAAATACATTAGTTTAGCTTCAAGAGTCCTCAAAATCTTAATGGTTCTAAACATTTAAAAAATGCGAAGTCTCTTCTAAGACTCAAGGTAGTCTCTTAACTGTGAGCCCCTGTAAATGGAAAGAAGGAAAGGAAGGAAGAGAGGGAGGGAAGGGTGAGAGAGAGAGAGAGAGAGAGAGAAAGAAAAAGAAAGAAAGAAAGAAAGAAAGAAAGAAAGAAAGAAAGAAAGAAAGAAAGAGAAAGTTGCATCCTTCTAATATACCTTGGTACAGAATAAACATTCCCATTCCAAAAGTGAGAAATGAGGGCATAGCAAGGGAAAGGGGGCCCAAGCAAGGCTGAAACTCAGCATGGAAAATACCAAATCCAGCAGCTCCATATTGAAAGGTCTTGGATACAGGTTCAAGAGGGACACTGAGATGAATTGTTGGAAATAAGGTGTTCTATAGAAGTTATTAACATCATGGACAGACAGACAGACAACAGCATGGCAAGGTTTCTGTGGAGACTTCACAGTCCAGCACCAAAGACAAACACCATGGCAGGGGCTCTGAAAAGAGAAATCAGGGTCCACAATACAGGAATGGGGATTCCTTCCTATATTTCTTTGGGGAAGGGGATGGTTTCTCAGCATAATTCTGACTCTCTGATTCCCAGGAAGGAGGCGGGGAAGGGAATGAGGAACAGGATATAAGGCCACCAACACCCACTTTGATGTAAATTCACTTCCCCAGGTGAGAAATCCTGGTACCTAGAAGTCTGTTAGCTAGCGATTCACAGAAATGTTTTCAGTAGGTTAGAGAAGGAAGGACTACTTCCGGTACTGTGGCCTAAGCAGTGGTCTGATTTGGACTCCAGTACATTTTTTCCATATACTGGCACCTGAGATTCTTGAAGGAATCATGTGAACCCCAGTGGCCTTAGGTGGCCCTCCCATTCTGGCTCTACCACCTGCAGCACACATGACCCTCTCATGTACCACCCTTCAACTTTCTTCCACAAATATACCTCCAGTGTCTTTGAGTCTCTGTTGTTATTTATGGTCTGTCTACCTTCACAAATTTGTGCAATGACCTCCAAGGATCTCCTTGAAGGGACTCTGAACCTGCCATATATTGCTTGACCTCAAAGGCTTTCTGGAAGTTTGTTGCAAAACTCAACAATACCTTAACTGTTACATTTTGCATGTCTGAAAAATCTAGCACCATCTGGATGATGCTACCAAGTTCTGTGCCAGCTCAAGATATACTTTGACCCTCTTCTACCACAGCTGTAGCCTCTGTGTGCCATGCTGACAGAACCTCGAAAAACACTTCTCTAAAGAGTTGTTTTGAATAGGGATCATCTCCAGTGGAATCCTCAGCTCAGGCTTGCTCCTTTCAAATGAATTTGTCTTTTCACAAGCTGGAACTCTCAGTGGATGAGGTCTTGCCCCAGGATAGCTTCACTTCTGATCCCAAGGAAGAGCTCACATTTTCTCTTTAGTGGCCTTAATTATTTTTAACAATTATAATGACTTTCTTTTCACCTTCTTTGCCTATAGCTTTAAGCTCGTTCATATTCCTCTCCTTGCTAAACTGCATGTTTTTCATATCTTTCTGTTCTTTGTCACTGTGGGTTGAAGAGCAGTAAGCAGTAACAGTGCCCCAGCCTGGATGTAACACTGTCATGAAATTTCTTCCACAAGACAATTTAGTCTACCACTTTTTAATTCAGCCCCACTTGTGAATGGCATCTATTCCAATAACCATCAGAGTCCTTGTTCTCCTCTAAAACTTTGTGTGCACATTTATATCAATAGTCTGGCCCCGGACACTTACACCAGAAAAATTCATTAATCTTTACTAATAGAGCTCCAGGACTTCTGTAGACTACAGGTAAAAACTGTTCAGTCTTCTTCCTATAAACCAGTTCAGAAGTCCTATGAACCAAATGGTCACATTTCATATAGCAGCTGCCTAACTCCCAAGTTCCAATAATGTTTATCAGTTATTTATCTCATTGTTATGATCAAATACCTGACAAGAAGCAACTTAATGGAGGAAGGGTCTACTTAGCACACAGTTTGAGGAGAACAATCCATCACAGCAGGGAAAGAATGATGACAGGAACATGAGTCAACTGGTTTTGTTACATCCACAGTCAGGAAGCACAGAGAGATGATTATTGATCATCTTTTTCTCTTTCTTCCCCTCTTTATTCAGTCTGAGACTCCAGACCATAGAAGGGTGCCATCCACATGATGGGTGGTTCTTACCTCTTCAACTAAACCTCTTTGGATATGCCCTCAGCCCGATACACCCCAGAAATGTGTCTCCTAGGTGATTTTAACTCCTGTCAAGTTGACAATAATGATTAACTAACTATTACTGTAGGGATTTTTTTTAGAGTGTGTTTTATGTAAGCAATTATTCACTGTTCATTACTGAAAGAAACTACTTAGCAACATAAAATTTAAAATATAGTAAATTAAGAAAATATAGGGCTGGGAAGATGATTCAGCAGCTAAGGAACTTGTCATGCAAACATGAAGACCAGAGTTCAGATCTCCAAAATCCATGTAAAGCTATGTGGACATACCAGCCTGCCTGCAATCCAGCATGATGGAGATGAAAACTAGAAGTCCTGGGAACAAGCTGACTAGCCAGACTGACCAAAATGGTGAGTTCTTGGCTCACTAAGAGATCATACCTCAATATATAAGGTACAACGCAATGGGGGAAGGCACTTGACATCAATCTCAGACCTCCACATGCATATGCAAATACATGCACATGCATACATACATGTACCCACATACAGGCAAGTACATGTGTGTATGCATACCACAGACATACATACAAAAGAAAAATATAAACTAACACAAGGCATGAAAGCAGAAGAGGTACTACTTTCGGAGAAGGAAAGGGAGAAAAGGTGTGTGACAAGGGAAAATATATATATATAATACATATAATATATACACGTAAGTGTGTGTGTTCAGAAGTATATTGTAAAGAGTTATTGGCCAATTATCTTGAGATTATCTGTGGTGTAAAATAGATTAGTCAATAAGCACATAGAAAACTCAACAAGATGCAGTTGTGGTGGCACACACCTGAAATCCTAGCACTTAGGAGGTGGGGGCAGGAGGATCAAGAGGTCAAGATCATGCTCTACTACATAGCACATTGAAGGCCGGCCTGAGCTACTTGAGACCCTATCTCAAAAAAAGGGGGGGTGGAGAAGTGGTTTAGCAAGTACAGGTGTGTGCTACCAAGTCTGACAAACTGAGTTCAATCCAGGGGACCCACATGGTAGAAGAGAGAACCAACA